TATATATATAATATTTTCTGTGAAAACGATAGCTTTCTATTGAGGAATACCAAGAAAGATATTTTTTTATAAGTTATGTTGATTTATTAAATGGACCGACCCATATCTGAACCAACACAGATTTGACACGTTGGCATATAATGGACGATCAAAGTCCAAATCTTCCGTGTATAAAGTCCGATTCCAGAAAACTGGACTTCTTCGTCAGTGCACTGTGCATCGAAAGAGAGGAGAAAAAAGAAAGACAGAAAGAGAATGGGATCGCTTGCCGGTTCGAGATCACAAAAACCACACGCAGTGTGCGTGCCGTACCCGGCACAGGGACACATCAACCCCATGCTGAAGCTGGCAAAGCTTCTCCACGTCAGAGGCTTCCACGTCACCTTCGTCAACACAGAGTTCAACCACCGCCGTCTCCTCCGTTCACGTGGCCCTCACGCGCTCGCCGGACTTCCCTCCTTCCGGTTCGAGACCATCCCCGACGGTCTACCGGAGACCGACGTGGACGCGACGCAGGACATCCCCGCCCTCTGCAAGTCCATCATGGAGAACCGCATGCTGGCTCCGTTCAGAGAGCTCCTCCGGCGAGTAAACTTCGCCGGAAAGGAGATTCCGGCGGTGAGCTGCGTCGTGGCGGACGGTGCAATGAGCTTCACCGTCGACGCGGCGGAGGAGCTTGGGGTTCCGGTAGTTCTTCTGCGGACAAACAGCGCATGTGTTTTCATGTTGTACCTCCACTATCATCACCTTATCCAAAAGGGTTTAATTCCTCTTAAAGGTACCCCCTTTTTAGACATATAATTCGCCCACATGTGCTAATGGATATAGTTTCTAGTCGGATTTTAAATTTTAAAAGTTTCATAATAATTAATTGCATGATGTAATGTTTTATATTAATCTTCGCGCAGACTATAATCACTTAGATAGTAAAATAGATTGGATACCGTCCATGAAGAACTTCCGACTCAAGGACTTGCCGAGTTTCTACAAGACAACGAACCCTAACAACACGAATTTTAAGTTCGTCCCGCACGTGATGGAACGAGTCAAACGAGCTTCCGCTGTCGTCATCAACACATTCGATGACCTCGAGCATGACGTCATCCTGTCAATGCAGTCGATTATTCCACCGGTTTACCCGATCGGACCGCTCCACCTCCTCGTGAACCGGGAGATTGAGAAGGACAGCGAGATCGGACGGCTGGGATCAAACCTGTGGAAAGAAGACACGGAGTGTTTGTCGTGGCTCGACACAAAGGCCCCCAACACGGTCGTCTACGTCAACTTCGGGAGCATAACGGTGATGTCGGAGAAACAGCTGCTGGAATTCGCGTGGGGTTTGGCGGGAAGCGGGAAGGCGTTCTTGTGGGTAATCCGGCCCGACCTCATCGCCGGAAAATCGGCGGTGGTTCCGCCGGAATTCATGGTGGAGACGGCGGAGAGGGGAATGCTCGCGAGCTGGTGCCCACAAGAGGAGGTTCTTTCTCACCCAGCGGTCGGAGGGTTCTTGACCCATTGTGGCTGGAACTCGACGCTGGAGAGCATCTCCGGCGGAGTTCCGATGATATGTTGGCCGTTCTTCGCCGACCAGCCGACCAACTGTAAGTTCTGTTGCGACGAATGGGCTGTCGGAAAGGAGATCGGAGGAGATGTGAAGAGAGAGGAGGTCGAGGCAGTGGTAAGAGAGCTTATGGAAGGAGAGATGGGGAAGAAGATGAGAGAGAAGGTGAAAGAATGGCGGCGCTTGGCGGTGGCTGCCACCGCGACGCCGTCTGGTTCATCGTTCGCGAATTTAGAGACGGTGGTCGATAAGGTTCTTTTAATCCACAATTAGTTATAATTAAGTCATTTTTTTTATGTGTACGTATATGTATGTGGTTCGTGATTATTATTTTTTGTAATTTTTATATTTACATATGTACTGGGAATTATATATGGAGATAACTCCCGATAATACGAAAGGGGCCAACAATATAAACTTGTTGTGTTTATATTGTGTTTGTCATATGGACGACATTTTGAGATTTGGTATTATAATATTGCTTTTTTATTAAGTTGATATTATGGTGTTTAATTTGTTACGTAGCTTGAGTAACCTAGTGTTGAGTGTTGAGAGAACATACTTAGTATGTTCTCACATTTACCTGAGTTTCCTCGTTTCTTTGGGAGATATAGTCGGGCCAAAGATCCGATAAACTTCCGGATTATAAAAAAAAATTGTTACGTACATTACATCCAAACATGAACCTAATCCACAAATTTATTAATTAATTAATTAGGTATAAATAAATAGTTAGAACCATCACGAATTTCCTTTCCCGACAAAACTATTACAAAATAAAAATCTCACAAAAAAAAGGCGACAACATTTATACTTAAGACGTAATTTTCTACATTGACTTGGCTAAAAGGACCACAATGATCTCGAAAGGACCACAATGATCTCGAATTAGAATATCGCAATATATATATATATATATATATATATATATATATCACATATGTGTGTGTATATTGTATTGT